ACTTGAGGTGATGCAGCAGTCAGTGGAAGACAAGAACAACTGTGGCAGTTACTATGCTGCTAAGAAAAGTTATAAAATCAGGTTTTCAAAAAATAAAAATAAAACAAATAGAGAGAGGGAGAGAGAGAAAAAGGCAAGAGTGCCAATTTATAACCCAGTTTTTCTCCAAGAGAGGTGGGTAGACTGTGTGAGATTATCAACCATTTAGCATAGTTAGCTTAGCTACAGACTACTGATTACCTCCATTTCACTAGCATTTAATAAATTAAGGGAAAAACATATTCCTATATTTAACTTGTCCATGTACCTTTTACCACTTAACAACAGATGAGTCAGTAAGAAGCAGCTCTAACCCACGTCCCTCCTGGCCTGCCCTCTCCTAAGTGAAACGAAAACTGCAGTATGTAACTTTTATATAAATATATTTTTTTCCACATATTTGTTAAAACTGTCATTATGTTGTGACAGTATGGTATGAGAGGTAATCTATGAAAAGTCTATTTCCTCTGCCTTCTCCCAGTGCTAGAAACACTGGGGGGAGATTTAATTTTTGGTCAGGGGGCCTAAGATTCCTGGCAGCGCCCCTGACTGTTCCAGCTGGGTAATTATATGTGTTGCACAACGTTCTTATTTCTAACAGCAAAGTCAAGTTTTCAAGTTCGGTCTGGAGCATCAAGAGAGATTTCACTGATTAATAACAATGTCCAGGTTTTTATAATTTTTTGGGGACCAATAGGCATTAAATTGACTGGCGCGATGCAGGGGATATGAAAGCCTTTCTCCTGGTCGCACCAACCCAGCCACTGGGTTGGTGCGACGTGTGTATGCATACAGGTTGGGTGGAGACTCATGCAGATATAGAATGAACACAGCAGGGTGCTGTACCTGTTGCTTAGCACAGGTTTACAGACAAATGTGAAAATAGGTTTACTACCATTTGGTCGCAGAGCGCTCCATGGTGGTATACAGTTGGCAGATGTGGTTGTGTGTGTGACAAAGGTGCCAAAACACAAAAGCTGTAAATGGCTGGGCAAAGTGAGAGTTCATCTATTAAATTGACTGAGGATGAATACATAAATTAAGAACTGGAGTATATACAGTTTATTATAAGTGTTTCTGTGAGCCTGCTTATTTATTATTAAATAGAATATAACTTCTGATTCTTTGCTGCCATTCACTCCAACTCAGCTCAGATTAATTTTCTAAACTGCAGAAAAATAATTATTAGGGATGCTCAAATATAAAAACTTGGGCTGATCTTGATACTCATACTGCATTTATGGCAGTATTTACTAGTATTTTAATTTATCACATTTTTATTCAATTACTCAATTAATCATCAGAATAATTAATAGATTTATTAATTAATAAAATAATTGTTTACAACAGCACTGATATGAACCTAAAATTTTAAACTGTGAAACTCTTGCATACAATGCAAGATATCAATACCACCATTTGTTGTTTCAGAACAACCCAACTTAGAAATGAGTAACAATGAATGAATGGCAGGTTTCAGGTCACATCAAAATTCAGAGGATGAAATGTCAGTCAAAATTATGAGGCAAATAAAATACCATACCCATACACAAGTTAAGGAATAGTTATTAAAATAAATAATTAAAACATATTTTAAAGTATCAGTGCTAAAGAAATATCAGGTACAATACAAACTGAAAAACAAAAGACAGCTGTACTGACCTCAAGATTTCTAGCTTACAGTTTGAACTCTCCAGTCCATCACACAGAAGCTTCACTCCACAGTCTCCCAGTTTGTTGCAACTTAGGTCTAGTTCAGTCAGATGGGAGGGGTTGGCCCTCAAAGATGAAGCCACAACCTCACAATGGGTGTCTGATAATTCACATCTGACAAATCTGTAATTACAGAAAAATGGTATTTAGGTGACATTAAATTAGACAAAAATCATAGAATGATTGAATGGATATGATTACTTCTTTTTTAAATCTGTGTTTGATATAACTTATTTTGCTGGATTGGACAAACTGATTAGCAGTGAACTCTGGAAATACTTTTTTGAAATGTCAATACTTTATCAGTAAAATTAAGTCAATTTGGAAATATTTTCCAGTGGCTTGACACCACTATTTTGCCTGTAGTATTTTGTAGTTTTCGGTCAGTTTCGGTCAGCAGCCATGACTTTAATTTATTTTCAAAATGACAGTGGACAGTTACTTTACACTTGAACCTGACCAATTTCAGTCGAACTACAATTGTTTGTGGATGTTTTTGGCTCAAGGCAGAGTGCTCACATGTGGGGGAGATGGCATCTGATCAAGTTCAACTAACATTGAAATCCCTGACGAAGGCTTGACATGATTCAATAAAACATCTTACTGGTCATATAAACCAAAAGTGGGGATTTTAGTTTTCTGTGTTTATTTTCTAGGTTCTATTTTCTGAGTCTCTGTGCCGTCTTCCCTTGATTGTTCCAGGTGTGTCTCGTTCCTGTGATTATCCCCATGTGTATTTAAGTCCACCTGTTGTCTCTTGTCGGATCCTTGTTGATTGTTCATTGTTATCGTAAGTCCGACTGTTGCATGTCGTGTGTCAGTCAGTTATTAATTTGTTTGTTGTCACAGTTGAACTGGTTAAGTCCTGTGTCGGCTGCAGCTCTCAAGTCAGTCGCTACCAGTGCTTGCATTATTCTCCGCTCACCTGAAGGAGGAACAGCTTATCCTGCTCTCTCTCATGTTTATTTGACAGTACTGCCTATAAAATATTTTTTTTAATATACCCAGTTTTTATAGCTTCTCTTACATTGTCGACCCATAACTGGATTACATTAGATCTAAGGAACGTAGGCCCAGCGGCATGGGCGGGCATTGCCACAATCAGCTGTGCCCCCCCTGGACGGGAAGCTGTTTGTTGTTACATTAAGTCACATATGTCAGAGTCAAGGCCCGCGGGCCACATCCGGCCCGCGAGAAGGTTTTTTACGGCCCCTGGGATGATCTTGATTTATTATTAGAACCGGCCCGCAGACCGCAGCAAGCCGGCACCCCGTCTGAAAAAAAATATCTTCCTTATTTGAACTGTAAGTAGTTCTTTAAATGTTCTGTGAGATGATGTACTTACCCATGTATCCATAACAACCGGAACTTTCAATATCCACCAAGTTATTGCCGAAATATACCGTCTATTAAACGAGTGCCCCCCGGATTAATTACACTCTCTGCAGCTGCAGCTGCGAAGTTACCGTATTAACCCGATACTTGCTGGAAAGTGCAACGTCTCCCCTTTCAGAAACCGTTGGAATTTTTCCACTTAGCGCTACGTGTGGCGGAATTACGGTACTGCAAATTTAGATGTGTCGCCGGCGACACATCTAAATGCCTTGACTCTGACATATGTGGATTAATAGATTTTTGCACTTTATTTTATTGTATTTCAATCCAATTATATTTTAAAAATATTTCAGTTGTGTCTGTTGAAAATTAAAGATTACTGACAGAGCCATAAGAAAATATTGCTTTATTTATCTGATCATATTGGAATATATTTGTTAGGTTTTCAGTAGGTTCAATTAGGTTCACTAGACTATATGCGTCATTTAAAAAAATTTCAATGAACATTCGATCAGTCCGGCCCTCGGCTTGTAGCTAAATTTTTTATTTGGCCCTCCATCCATTTGACTTTGACACCCCTGCCATAAGGGCATTAAATACCCTGTAGCAGTATTTTCATTAATTTCATTATAATCTATGTAAA